ACACACACACACACACACACAGATTCTACCCAAAAAGGTTGAATTTTTTGTTAATGCAGGTGTTTTACTCCCCCATCGAAACAGTTTAGATCATTTAGGAGGCGGGCTTCTGACACTGCATGTTCGGGTTAACTGTTAACCTCTGCTGAGACTGAGAGGGATACAACATTTATATCCTCGCAGAAAAATCTGAGATGCTTAAAAATAATGTTCTCCACACTCGGGAATTGAACTCAGGTCTCCTGCGTGCGACAGCGAAGTGCCTAACCGCTATATCACAGACGCCGTTGTTATCTTTCTTTTGTTTTAGTATTTTCAGCAAGAGCTTTACGTCACTTACATACAACACAAATAAGTGATATAAGTGCCGAAGATTAGAGATATTACTAAAGAGAAGCATACATATACAAAGAAAAGGAAAAGGAGAAGAGGAAGATAGGTGTTTGATGGATAGGAAAGAAGGAGCAAACCACACCAGGGCACCCGCTAACCAACCTCTCAGTTTATGTCAAAAGCAAAGATGTCGTTAGCCCTGTACAATACACAGCCCAGACAGGCGCACGTTACCCAAGTTCATGTCATCATGATGGACTGTGGTGCAAAAAGCTGTGGTTCGAATCCCCCCCCCCCCCCCAATAGGGTGTTCTTGATCTTGGATTGTTTGGGCAGTTTTCAAGTCTCTCCATCTGCTAATTAAAATTAGTTTTAGTAAGCGTTTTACGGAACTTGCAACACAATAAAGTCATATAAGTGCCGACGATTAGAGATGTTACAAGAGAGTAATAAAGACACAAAAGAAGGAGATATCAGGACGATAGATAGGAAAGAAGGAGAAAACCACACCAGAGCACCGCCAACCACCCACGGCAGTTCTCAAGTCTCTCCACCTGCTAATTAAAATTAGCTTGGCCCTATTGACCATGGATGTCAAAGTCGGAGGTCCTGTCACTTAAATAACCTTACACACAGTAGGATTGGATGGAGCCTTAAAGCTACACAACTACAAACCGGACTGTCTGTTTGTTTCTTTGCCTGTTTGTTGGTTGGTTGGTTTGTTTGTTTCAATGAAGAGACGCACAGACATAGTACATGTAAAATGATAGTCGTGTCGTGGTAGAAAAAAAGTCAGATCGACAGACAGACAGTAAGAAACAACAGAGAGAAAGTAAAAAGAATTAGAAAGACATACCAGTGGACCGTACAGTATACCCTGAACAAACCGGACTGAAAGCACCAGTGATTGGCAACAATTCACTATCTAAGAATTACAAAGTTCTAAGAGTGTCTGCTCAGTGCCTAATTTTGATGTCAAAATTTTTTTGTTTTACAATGTCAAGTTTTTCGAATACAAATCTTTGAACATCTTGATAACGACTCCAATAAATATTCTTACGACTTGGATGGAGCACCGCCAACCACCCACGGCAGTTCTCAAGTCTCTCCACCTGCTAATTAAAATTAGCTTGGCCCTATTGACCATGGATGTCAAAGTCGGAGGTCCTGTCACTTAAATAACCTTACACACAGTAGGATTGGATGGAGCCTTAAAGCTACACAACTACAAACCGGACTGTCTGTTTGTTTCTTTGCCTGTTTGTTGGTTGGTTGGTTTGTTTGTTTCAATGAAGAGACGCACAGACATAGTACATGTAAAATGATGGTCGTGTCGTGGTAGAAAAAAAGTCAGATCGACAGACAGACAGTAAGAAACAACAGAGAGAAAGTAAAAAGAATTAGAAAGACATACCAGTGGACCGTACAGTATACCCTGAACAAACCGGACTGAAAGCACCAGTGATTGGCAACAATTCACTATCTAAGAATTACAAAGTTCTAAGAGTGTCTGCTCAGTGCCTAATTTTGATGTCAAAATTTTTTTGTTTTACAATGTCAAGTTTTTCGAATACAAATCTTTGAACATCTTGATAACGACTCCAATAAATATTCTTACGACTTGGATGGAGCGGATAGAGCATTTATTTTCTGACGGTCTGACCTCATGATTAATTGTCTTAGAAACTCAAAACTGCCAAAAATGTCAGATAGAACTTTGTAATTCTGAGGTATGGAATGGTTGTCATTGTAGTGCCAGTGCCAGAGGGTACCACAGATACGATCACACAGTTGTTGCCTTGAATGGTGTTGTTCCTGGAGCGGATCCTCTTTCAGAACAAGAATGTTTATCGTAGAATGAGCTGGGGTAGAACGTTGTTCTTTACATAACGCTTTGTTGTTATTACATTAGTCTATCTCCCCCCCCCCTCTCTCTCTCTCTCTGTGTGTGTGTGTGTGTGTGTGTGTGTGTGTGTGTGTGTGTGTGTGTGTGTGTGTGTGTGTGTGTGTGT